ACTACCGCTACGAAAAACTTTTATTGAAGCGCCACTCAGCGCGGTTACAGCCTTTCTGACCTAAAACCATAAAATCTGTTCAAGTTCCCTAATTACAGCAGAATTTGCAAATTTTTTTTGAAATCGAAAAACAGCGCCTGATACTGCTACACTAAATTTTCAATTCATAGCCAGACATCGATAATTTATCACTAAAATAGTCAAACTAATTCCGCCAATTTAGACCTTGCACTTAGAAAGAGAGGATCATAGAAAGACAGTAAGTTAACAAGGAGGATAATACAAGCATGATGCAAAATTCAAAACTTATACTATAAATCCAGAAACTACTTGTTTCAGAATTACGCAGTAAACGAGTTGAAGAGAAAGCAGGAAACAAAAATAGATGAACTGGTAAACCGTCAGAACAGCTAATGGGCAATTGGCCCAAAAACTAGCCCACACAACTAAGACGGGTTAAAAAAAAAGGATGCAGAAGCTCGCTTGCAAGTCAATCATTGGAAGCCATAGCCTAGACTTTAAAAGCTAGAATTTGACTGCCTATTTTGCAAAAACCCGAACATTTGGTCAAGATTCCGCACAAAGCTGAAAATTATACTTCTCATAATGTGCGTAGTAAGATCTTTGCTGTTGTCGTGACAGAACGGGAAAGGCCACCTTAATCATTATGGTAGTGATCACCTACTTGTACCCAGAAGCTTCGGCAGGGCAGACGGCCGATAATTGCCTTATTATGTTTGGGCTTCAAGCCAGTAAGGGCAATAGTACAAGGTTCATTCTGAAGTCTGTCCAACTGTTTACAAGTTGATCTCTTTAATCTTTCCAGCCAGTTGTTCCATGCTAATTCTGGATCTTCAAAATTTGTCCTGTATCCTTTATAAGCTGTGCCTCACGGCAGCATAAGGTCTTTTATTCATAAGTTTAGAATTTTTTTCTTGCTCAAGTTTCTGCTCTGCTTCCTAATTGGAGTATACTAGTGTTTGTCATTTGACAACTCTTTTGTCAAGATTATATCTCGCAGGCCGATAGACCAGTAACCACTGACTCTCCTTATCATATAGTCAAATACTATGTGGGTATTAAAAAAGCTATACGTTACAAGCCGTTGTACTACATCTTGCTGGAACCATCATAAAAGTTCAAATGCTTCGTCACTATCTCAAAGTTGTCAGACTTGTCGACCCTCAAAAACAGTCTTCAAATGATCGAATTGACCTGTAAGCTTAACAAATATAGAATACTTACAGCAGAAAGATGTACTTAGGAGAACCCGTAAGGTCTATGAAAAAGTATTATTGTAATTGCTCCTCATTAAAAAGGTTTGCTGAATAGTTGTAATAGCTACAGAAGCTGAATGTCAGGTAAAGCTGTCTACTCTCGTTCCCATAACAAGATACATTGCACAAAGGCAATACTTAAGACCCGAAACTAATTACGATAGCCACGTCACCAACCAAGTTCAATGATCCATTCAATTGTTTGAGCAATGTCCGGTTTACTAGACAGAACAATAGACACAAACACCCTTAAAATCTCCCAAAAATAAAAGAACCTGTTTAACGAATTGCATCAAAGTTGCTCTAATCGGCTCAAATAGAACCATCTCTAAAAGCGGATGCAAAGCTTGACAGACATGAAATTCACTGTCCTCAGCATTCTGGTTTTCTAAGGGAGAATCAAGAACAGCTTTTTATCATTAATAACTGAGGCTGCACGATGTATTTCGGTACTCATTATTTCAGGCAGATCTTGTTGTTTAAGTTAAACTATTGAAACCTTTTTGCTTCTTTTGTACAATAAAGAGTCATCAGATTTAGGCCCATTTAAAGCGTTGCTTATGTCGCCGCACTGACTTAAAGTATTTCAAAGCTACTTGCGCTACATCCTAAAGTCCACCTAAGAAAACAAAATATATTGAAGACAAGAAATAATTCTAAATGCCTCATCAGGAAATTATATTAACAGATGACTTGGAAAGCAATAAGTAGTGTAATGCTGTAGAGAACTTGCACCATAACGCGACTCAAAGATGAAAACTTTTAAAAAAAAAATTAGATTCAAAATCCCATCACCAAGCACTGGAATTAGGTTACAGATTTTAAAAGCACAGAAATTAGTGACTGCTATAAACATTTTCTGACTTTATGTGAAAAATCAAAAAGATAGGATTTTTGCTAAATAACTTTGAATTTAGGACACCTGCATACTGAGAAAACAGATATATTCGAAGAAACAACAAGAATGAGAAGACAAAATAAGCAGAACCACACAGTGATGAAACTGGCGAATAGTTGAACTTAGAAAATATATGAAGCATTTAAGATCAATGGAGAAGTGAGGTTCGCTATCTGCGGTATGTCAGAGCACAAAAAGGGATATGAGAGTACATATTTGCGAAAGACCTCAACAATGGATGATCAGGAAAGTTGCAAACTTAAGTGAAAACATATTTAACCATTCAGAGACTACGACTTCAAAAAAGAAATAGACCTAAGTGATAAACGAGGAAGACATTATAAAAACAAAATTAGATCCACAAAGAAATTTTTTTAAGCTGGAGGCCTATTTCACGTAGCCGTCGATTTCGATTACTTAGTTTAAAAAACCACAATTAATGTGCTCTCCTCTGCAGGATGTCTTCCATGACGTATGTTCCATCAAATTCGTTCCCTCCGACTGGCTAACAACCTTTTCCATCGGCTAACATGCTAGAAGTAATTTCTCCTAATTGCACACTCCGCGACAGAAGTTGTATTATGTTAACGCCTTCTCGACGATCACTTACCAAAGCCGCCTGGTCAGTTCGGCCCTTAACAGCGTTTATAGAGCAAATTAAGAACTTCTTTAGAGTCTTTTAAGACTGTGCTGTGCAGTCGACTGTAGCGCTGAATGCACGCTACTCATTCCGCTAACACTAACACCCAATAAAGCCTGCGAAGCAGCTACCAAACTTGAACACGGAATTTTCAGGACAGGAAAAAAGGAAAAATTTTAAATGCTCCTTAATGCTAAATGCTACTACCTACTGTAGAAAGAAGAGGTCCGTGAGAGACATAAAGTTTTATCAAAACTGAAAAATAAAAATGGCTTGAATCTACTGGATTACCAAAAATTTTACACGGCTACGTAAAACTATCAAATTGAGGTTCAGTTCGTCTATTTTCGGTCCCATCTATGCAACATTAGGAACAGTGGGAAAATTAGTAAGGGAAACACCGAGTGAATAATAAAAAGTTTGCTCATAATAGTTCAGAACCATGAAAAACCTTCGATAATCACCACTTGACAAGCTATGCCAGTAAAAAAATTTCTTTCCTTACTTCCTTCCCCACTAGTCAGCAAGTGAAAAGCAGTTATCGTGACACACTTATAAACCTTTTAATTTTCACGATCTACTTACAATCCGTTATAGCGTGAAACTTTTAGACTTGCTAGATTATAACACTCCGCCATTTCGCATATTAATTTTCCACAACAGAATTAAAATTAACTCTGCGAGACTTTAACTTTCTCCCGAAAGCTGTCTTTTGCGCATTTATTTGTGCAGCTTGCTTCGAGTGCTATTTCTGCGCATATGTTCCCTCCTTGGTGATGGCAAGGTTTGTTTTTTTTGTAAAATTATAATGAGATTCGCGGAACTCGTGTGCTTTTGGCATGAAACTTAGATTGGTTCTAAGAGCTTTTTCCTATACCCAGTCTGTCCTTTTCAAGATGAGGTGGTGCTGACGAGATAGCTCAGAAAATGTGCAGTATTACGCTACCGGCGTCATTAGCAAGCTCGTGACAGTTAAAGGACGAAAGTAAGTCTTTCTAGTCAACGGGTAGTTACATGAATACAACCGTAACTTTTCAAAACCAACTCGTCAAGCATGTCGAAAATGATACTAACAATAAATATATCTATAATTTTCACTAATTTCATATGACAACGAAGAAGTCAATATTCTAATGTGAAACCGATATCACGGCTCTAAAACATCGGTAGCAATGAACAGCACACTTCTTGGACCACTTGAAGGAAAGCATGATGCTAAAGAAAAAACAAATTGCGCACATGAAACAGTCAAAAATCATATACAGCCTTGAAACGGTTACGAATTGGCATTTTTGACCTGCAGTTTCGGGCAAAAAAAAAACTGCGTACTCCCAAATCGCACTAGTAAAACAATGTAGTTCACTTCCAAATCTACCTCGGTGGCACCACCATAATCGGGAAAGAACAGAATGAATCTAGACAAAAACTTGCGGAACCAATTCAAGTCTGACGCAGAGGATACCGTTAATCATCACCAAAACCGTATCCGACGCAACGTTCACAGACAGACACAAAAGAAGAGCAATTTTGGGGATAAATTTAGACCCCTAAAAACTAACTCTATCAAGAAAAGTAACACGCAGAATAGCAAACTTTTAGAACTCAATTCCTCTATTTACTCTGGCAACTCCTCAATGCCTGGTCTTCTGCCAAAGTCAAAGTTCCAAAGTCAGGCTCTTCTCTACTTTTCAGCATATAGCGGAAAATGTCGGTCTCTGGCGCGTTGCCAGCGCGGTTCTGGTTTTTTCTCGTACCCCGTAAATTCTTCTTTCCCGAACGTCTGACAGGTTCAGCAACCGATGATCCAGAATCATTCAACATTTTCTTGATTTCTACGTATCATACATTTTTAATTTTCGAGTCAAATTGTAAGTGTTTACAATGGCTTTTGAAACGAATGAAGTTGTTTTTGCGGTTTAGTTTATGGCTGCCCAGACAGTCAAATTTTAAACGTCTTCGAGCTTTTTGAAGCCACGTTTGTTGTTTAGAGTGGAGTTGAAGTTACATACGAGGCACGTATCTGCTGCATGCTGGCTCTTTACTACATTTTTGTCTTTTCAGTTTTCTTGTATATAAAAATAACGCTTAAGCCTGAGGCTTATTTGCGTCATAAATTTCATTCGCACACATTCTATGCTCTTCCTTGTTTAAGGAACAGGTTCCTAACTGCGGGAGATTTTCAAGGATGTCGTATATGCTCCCTCATTTAAGCAACGGCTGGCAGGTGGATCAGTCAATTCTTGCAGAAGAGGATCGTGTAGTTCTTATACGGTTTGGACACGATTGGGATCCAAGTTGTATGCGTATGGATGAGGTAGGAATTGTAACATTAGTCGTTTGTAAAATTCATTATTTTTACTTTTTTATATGCCTGATGTATTACCCCTCCTCATAATCTTGTTGAGTAATAACAACAGTAGTAGTAAAATTATAAACTTAGAAAATAGTAATTCTTTTAGCAATGGCCGTGACCGAGGATCTTTGTGTTTAAAAAAATTTTTTCCGATCTGTTCTATTCGTACATGTGAAAAGGCTATTATAGCTAGTCGCAGACAGTTTTAATTCAAGGATCTAATTGCAGACACTGTATAAGATTGCAAACAAGGTCAAAAACTTTGCCGTTATTTATTTGGTTGATACAACAGAAGTTCCCGATTTCAACAAGATGTATGAGCTTTATGATCCTTGCACTGTAATGTTCTTCTTCCGTAACAAACATATCATGGTTGATTTAGGTTAGTTTTGATTGATCTGATTTATTTGAAAAGGGTTGTGATTTAAGCAGATTTTGCGTTAAATTTTGTTTCTGCTGTTTTTGCTTTGGCGAAAAATATTTATTCTTAAGTATTTCCAACGAAAGAATATAATTTTACAAATTTCTTTCTCTTAGTTCAAATAATTTGCTTTTAGGAACTGGTAACAATAACAAAATCAATTGGCCTATTACGGATGGGCAGGAACTGATAGATATTTTGGAAACGGTTTACAGAGGAGCGAGGAAAGGCCGAGGGCTTGTAGTATCCCCTAAAGATTACTCGACCAAATATAAATACTGATCGCGCTGGTCGTTTTATTTTGTACAGAATATGAATGTAGTACAACGGTTTACTGTTTTTTTGTATTGCTGTAGTTTAATGGGATACATATTTTAGTTAGGCCTTCGCCTTGATTTTATTTTGATTCCCCGTTGATTCACGAGTTTTGTAGCCGTGAAGCGTTTTTTTCTCTTTTGCTATCTGCGCTTCATCACAGTTCCTAATCTATTGTATAAAATAAATTTGGGTTATGTGCTGTTTATGCATCTTCAGACTTGATGGATGGGAATTCCTTCTTTAAGATTATGATTGCATCATTAATTATTTGTTGTGCTGTAACGGTAGATGAACTCTTAATTATTCGGTGGTTATTCTTACCTTTTATTAAAGCTGACGTACTCCTGCCCTTGTGGATTTTATGGTGGTGATTAAAACATTCATTAATTGTTTTGACGACTACTTCTGCAGATCCTGGTTACAATGTACTAGATTCATTGTCTTTTACTTTAAAATGTTCTTTATTTAAAGCCTTGTTCTCAGCAGCGTTAAATTCTGGCGTCACTCAGTGTGCATTCTCTGCGGGGAGTTTTTTCGTGTATCTTTTCACTTCTCACTTGTATTACATCTAACGTCCTGCTTTTCGCAGGTGCCTCTTAATATTGAACTGGGATGGCGGACCGAATAACTCAACTGCAGGACTTGGTCAATGAGTTAGCTAATCACATGTGTAACTCGATAGGAGCATTGCAAGCCCTTGCTCCTTCATGCGACTTTAACTCATCGTCTAAGGTTAGTATGATTCCCAGTTTAAGTTTTTGTAGTGCACAAATAATTTCATTTTTTGAAAGTATGTAAAGCCTAAGTGAAAGATTACTTTGTGCAGAAAGTCCGCAAAATTTTAAGCCTTTTTTTGTCTTTATTTAAGGAGCCATTTCATCCTTTTGCTGGTAGACGCAGGATATGTTTGTTAAAAGTTAGGATTTGAAGTAAAATTTCTGCTGGCATAAAATTTCTTGAAGGATTATAAAAATGTTTTGAAAAAATTTAACGTTGGGAAACTATCGGCTGATTAAACAGTGTTAAAGCTTTCATACCACCTTTCTTTACGGGTTCACTAAAATTACGGAATCTGTTCGGGTTGAAATTTTTTATAACTTGCCCAAATTTGAAAATTGCTAAACTTCTAGCAATTAGAAAGTGAACCGAATTGCGCTTTGTTTGCCGCTAATATTGCTCACACCGCAAAGGACATTGAAGTTCTCATTGATTCTTTACCAGTGGAAGACCCTGTGACAGGTGGCGTTGAATGCGACGAAGAACTTTTGAAAATGGATGAGCAGCGACGCCGGGTTAGTAAAAGTAGCGGGCTAGACTTACACCTTCTGTATAAATGGTCCCAAATTTTGATTTATATTCTCTTGCCAACTATGTTTTTCAACCTCTTCCGATATCTAAGAGCTTCTACCCATTTCCTTAAAATACTCCATTTCAGGCGGCACAAGAGTTAGAAAGTGTTGCAGCAGAAGGCGAGGAGTTAATAGAGCTAATTCAGAAGAAGCTCTCGGAAATAGCGCACATCCAAATGGAGTCACGACCGTCAATGTGAAAAATTTAGGACAGTGACAGTCCCTTCGTGATTGTCTAAACTTTCTTTCGCAGAAAAAACGGGTTTTTGTCTTCTGGAAGAGGGGCTGGGAAATGTGTGCATGATCGGCCAGGACTCCATAAGATGAAGTGAGTAAAAGTAAAAAGAATGTAGAAAGTTTGTGACCTTGAGAGAAAACGAGTGAGTTGCGGAAGAGTTCTGTCAGAATTAAAGTTTATTTCTCCAGCATCTTGCTGGCTTATCCATCATTTCACTCTACAGCTGTTTTCAAAATGGGAGAGTTTGGCATTCCTAAATCGCAAAGTAGCAGTTTGGATAAACAACGACTACAGAATATGAAGCCAACAGTGCACTATAGTTAGGTAACCGTTTTAAAAATGAAACGGAATTTGTAACAGGTTTTCACATTAAGTGGTTACAACCACTAAATTTATACCTGTACACTGCGGGATAAACATTTATTTAACATGTTCTGTTGAGTTAGTGCAGATGCAAGATTTTAAAAACAGTTTTAGCTACCACAGGGCTAGAGTGTTGTAAGGATAAGTTAGTGAAAGTCGGTCAGAAAAAAAAGTTTGGATTAAAAAACTTATAACTATTTGTCACTTGCGAAATGTACCTGCATTTTTATTTCAGTATTCTATAGCTTTTTGAGAGGACATTCTCAGCCAAAAATAATGATTCAACCATTAAATGAAAGAAAAATTAGTTTGGTGAAGTTGAAGATGAGTTTAGAGAATAACACCACGCAAGGTTCCACTTTTGCTTCCAGCAAATGGAACGACCATTAGAAAGACTGATAAGCTATACAGGACTTAATTTGGAGAATAAATCTAATACTTGTTCTCTGTAGCGTGCCGAGTCAATACTTATTGGGATTGAATGGAATTTCGGCCACCAAGACTTTCTGTCGTCCCAAAGGTAAGAAAGGAACTTCCTGTCGCTGATACGTTTCACACAAGTCCACAAAAAACCCCAAGCACGTTGGTCGTTCCTGTCAAATTCACAAAATAAAAGCTAGCGAAAACTGCCAATTAACACTCGAGTATTGAAGTGCAACGAGCGGAAAAAATGTCAAGTCGTACCTGTTCTCCCCAAAGTCCAAGAACTTGCACAGCAAATCACTAGCTTCTAAAATGAAATTTTCAGGAAGGTCATGTTGTTGTGGATGCAGGAGACGTTCTTGCAGCCAATCCAGTCGTATTTGATCCGACTCGCTTGAATTTGAAGGGAAAGAAGTTGCCTGAAAGTGTTCACGGAAATCACAAGTAGTTATGGATTTGAACTGGAATGAGGAAGTTCAAGAAGTTCCACCTCTAGTAATTTCTCGGCCACCTTCTCGTTACCCGCTGCTGCCAAAGAGTGACAGCAGTGTCCAAGCAATAAAGGGGTACGAGTACAGCATTTGACCGCCACATCATACAACAGTTCCGGACTATTCAAGGAAGTTAGGAAATGGATTAAAGCGCTTAAAAAAACGTTTTCTTCCCCACTAGGCACTTGCTGAAAATCATTTTTCAATAAATTATTAATATGTACAATACATCACTTCCAAAAACAAAATGAAAGGTAACTTTGCATTCTTTATATTACATGACTAATGTAATAAAATCATTAAAAATGAAAAATTTAGAGAAAATATTTGCGAAAGTTCCGTACATTATTAAAGGGGTGTAAAAGTCTCAATACTTAAGCGAACAACCCACGTTCACTGCAGCTTCCAAATCCTCATAAACTGAAGTTAATTCTTCTTGCGACATCTCATTATTCTGCCGCCAATGGACGTAGTTTAATAAGGCTTTGTAGGCACGTAACAATGTGGTATACTGAAAAAAATTGCCATGAATTTGCGTAATGGAAAAAAAAAACGAGCATCTACAGTTTCGATCCTGACTTAACAAGAAACTAATGGCTAATTCCTGCAAACTAAATAAATATATTTACCAATGGCGTCCCAAATTACGTCCAGCCAGCGAAAACCAATTTACTACAGACCAGGACTCATCAACAGAATAAAATATCATCAGAAAGAATAAAACCAAAGGAAGTGTAGTAAAGATGCATAATCTGTCTTCCATCTTTATAATACTGTGTTCCACAAGGAAAACTAAACTTCAAGTCGTTGTAAACCACTTACTTGTTGTTCAAGAGCTAATGCGGGCAGAGAGGCAACAGCCTGAATCAAATCTTTTCCTTCCTTAACCATTGAATGAGCAACACAGTAAATAAGAATTTCAATTGCGTAAAACAACCCAAGATTTCTGGCTTGAACACCACTTCGAATTTGCTGCAAATTTTTCAAAAAACGATGCTAATTCAAAACAGTTGCAGAAGAGGAACATTTTTTAGTTACATTATTTAAAGGTTGGAAGATAACGGATCAATCTACGCCTGTTCTACAGCTCTGAAAATAAAAATAAATACAAAGCCAATTGTTTTCAGATATAGAAAAACCAAACTCTAACTTTTGTTAAAACAACGCCACCCAGAACAGCACATCAAATCACCATATAGTTAAAAGCTAAAAAAATTAAATAACGACGAAATAACCACCAAATAGGAAGCATGATTAAAACAAATCTTTACAAACAAACTTACTTCTTGTTGGTAATCTCCTTCTGCTAAGGCAAACATAAAATCGACTGCGGACTTCACAATCAGGTCATGTGCTCCCGAATCCTGCATTAACCGCTGAAATCCAGTGTGAAAGACGGAAGCATAATATGGGGAAAGAGCGATCATGTTAGTCCTGGATGAATCATTTAGTTGCAGCTGAACTTTTCGCGATGCCCCTCGAATGACGTATTTCACAAATGGTAATCGCCCTGCAGTGCAGTGGTATACGAAAAATTAGCAAATAGCCAAGACGTACAAAATTATAAGATACCGCCTAGGCAGTGACGTCCAAAAACCATAAACAAGTTTTAGAAGAACCACAAAATTATATTATTTTAAAAAGTTTACCAGCACAAAGCGGCAAATTGTTCCTTAATACCATAAATTAATAACTTAATTATTTTAACCATGTTAATGCCGTTGTTATCGAACTAAGGTACACAAAAAGTTTCAGTTAAAAATACCAGTTAATTTTTGCCAATGACAAAAATTGACCCCCCATAAGAAAGCATATAACATCAGAAAATATTGCCTATTATTCTTCCAACTGAAGGCCAGTCTTCATTCAGAACTGCTTCTCGAAGCCTGAACATCAACCTGGGCACTTTGCGGAATCGCAGCACACACCACAGACGCCTAATTCTCATTCTAAAAATCAGCGATTTAAAATTTTTGCATATTATCAATGATGTGAGCATAAAAGTAACTGTGTAAAAAACAACTGTACTAGACATCTCGAAAGATTACAAAACAGGCGTTAAAAAAACTACATAGCCAAAAGAAAACCTTTCGCTGTCCTGTCCTGAAATGTTATCAAATGCGTAGACGAACTCTCTATTCCAAACTGCAAGACCAAGTGACCTTTGCTGCTTACTGATTTGGACAAGGCTAAAGTTGCAATAAAAAAGAGTATCGAGATTAAAAGAAGCAGAAGATACAAAGAAATCTTGAAAGAGATGTATACCTTGAAGCACTATACAGAAGAAAATAATAAACTAAAGTAGGTACTAATAAACAGCAATACCAAGAATCACAGAAATTTTAGCTTAATTTCTGCTCTACCTAAAAGCTTTAAATATAAAATATCTCACTAAAAATTCTTGCTTAACTTACGTTTTGCGCCGTTAAATTCAGCAAAAGCTAGGAATCGATTAACTGTTGCAAGTTAAAAACATGGTCAAGTGACAGAAATCATTTTAGTGTACTTTTATGGTACGGTTTGGATTTGACTAGAGGAAAACTTCTAAATCAAAATTGAAGCTAACTTGCTAATGCGCTTTTGAAACCAATGAAAGGACTTATCATCACAAATAAAGTTTGTCTACACTCTCAGAACTGCGGTCCAAAGCAGCAACATATTCATTCCCGGAAACCCCTTCAACACTTTTTTAAAAGTTAACATAACTCTAAAGATCAATGAATATCAGAAATGTACTTACGCCGAAAAAAGATCCTTATTTTCTGTCTGTCCACTATAATTATTACATGTTCCCAGGATTTTGTGAAATGGTATTTTAAATCCATGTTTTTCGTTTTCTTCAGTATAATATTTCTTGGCCTCTGATAAAAACCCGTAAGAAAGGGCAGTTGAAAGGAATTCTGTATACACCTGTAAGTGACGAATGGAGCATAAAAATTCAAGTGTTGAGACTACAACAAAAACGGCATAAACCAACAACTTACTGTTTTATCGATGAAGTGCTCCGCACGTTTCTGGGCAAAAAATTTACAGTAAAAACTTATCAATGTCTGAAGATCTGAAATTATTTCTATTTAAGTATTGTCATTTCAGTAAAAACTTCATATAAAAGTGCTCAAAAAAACAACCTTCCTCACAAAACGTTTTTTCGTATGCTTCATGAACAACAAAAGTTGATCTGTCCTCATCCATATGTCAGAAATATTACGTTGATAATTACCGCATGCCTTGAGACTACGTCGAAGTTGATGAACTTTCCACTTCGCAGAGTTCTGCAGTTCTGCAGTACCGCTTGCCAGCACTAAAGTGATAGAGATGAAAATGCCAAATCATTGCAGGGTAAAAAAAACGTCATTAGGTAGTGAGTAGATGATGTAGGTGATATAATATTCTACACTGTAAGAAGAATAAAAATACCGGGCGTCTTTCTAAAATGCTACACGTATGATACGTTTTCACTGAAAACCCACAGACCATTGTTCCATTAAGCATTGTTGACCGCTTATATTTTGACTGTGGTGCAAATTTAACTTCAAATGTTTTTATAGAGCAACATTATAAATAAAATTTTTGCGCCTCTGACAGCTATTGTTGGTTAAACATATTCGGCTTTCACAAAAAATGTTTACTGGTGCAGATTAGGTCAGATGTTCAAAATTTAAAGCTTTTCACGTGAAAACAATTGTCCTTACATAACAGTCTTTTTATCATTAGTAGAAGTGTCAGTGGAGAAGTAAAGAATAGCAAAAGGACTTGTAATGTTAAATGCGTACCAATTTTTCTTCTCTTTTTTTTCCCCCTTTGACGTACTGAACAATTAGATGGTTGTTAAACGATTAGATATATACATTTTTGGGCACTGTTAGGGAAAATGATTACAGAAATAAATATAGCTTTACAGAAAAAAAAAAAAAAAAAAGCCATAATGCATTTAACACTCTATTGCTGGTGAAATAAAAGGTAAAGGTGTTCTCTGATGCCCGTCTTGTCAAGAACACATTAGGACATGCCTTTTATGTATAGAAAATGGATGAGTGGTAAGCAACAAGAAACAGACTCGAAACGGAAGAATAACCGAGGAGGAACGGGGGGAAAAAAGATGCTCCAGTGAAATTTTTTTACCCAAATGATTTTACGCCTATAAAAGTGTTTAGAAAAAAAAAAAAGCTGTTAACAATTTGCCCCTTACACCATTTCTTCTTACCAACAAAAACATGGCACCAACTAAGGTGTTATAAACAGTGTTTTCAGTAAGCCCTCCCAGCCCCTACTACCCATATACACACAGAAATAAACTGATATGCTCGTCCGTAGTAACTGAACCTTATTCCATCAGTGCGTTTGTCCGGAATGCGTGCTGGTATAGGCGTGGCCTCCATTGGCTTTGAGGGTGGAGCCGATGTCTGCGTTGTTGCCATTGTCCCTTGTGTTCAGTTGCAGCATCCATCTCAATGAACTGCTGCTGTTGCTGCTCCAGCAGCATCATCCAAGTTGGTTCTTTTTGTGGCAAAAAGTTGTAACTCTTTTTTACTTTGCTGTCAGAAATTGTGGTGAGATTCAGGAATTTACAAATGGTGAAACTATAAAACTTAAAATTTTATTACTCTGCAGATTGTTTTGCTGATCGCTTCCTTTTTGCGATCACTAATTTTGTTCAAAGTTAAATGGTAAAAAGAAAAGACTTGGGACGTGGTTTCGTAATTGATTACAGTATAATTTTTATATTTTATGTTATAACGGTGCATTTTTTTCTTTCTTTTGACGATGAG